AATATGCAACATTTATATAAATTGTCACGTTTATTGCAGTCAGTCTGTGTTTTACTCTCACGCTTCTGCTCCCTTTCCTTCCCATTCATTTTGCTGGTGGATGGCTACATCTGTCATTCTAGCAAATCAGAAAAGGGAGATCTAGTTACAGAATATCATATTGTATATACCCTGAACTAAATTAAATTTAGCAAGCATTTTTAATTCATGTCTGCTTTACCTTAAGTTACCTTCCTTAATTTGGAAACCCATTTGCTATTGTTTTAAGAAACTTATATAAAATTTAAAAATTTACAAGTCTTACCTCTACTCAAATCAGCATTAGTTCTTAATTTATTACTTTAGAGTGGAAAAGTAAAACCTAAAAAATACAATTCCCCATGGGGTTGCAAGCACCCAAAAGTTGCAGAGTATTGCGACCAACTTACAGGACGAACTGATGGTGGAACGCGCTTTTGTTGAACGTTGATTGCAATCATAATTTATAAATGTTGCCGACAGTTTGGCGGGTGCCACGAGATGTTGCAGTTGCTGCCTCCCATATTTCGCCATCAATAAATAAATATTATTTGGCTGTCTGTCTGGCCGTTTGCTCGGTGGGTCAGTTGATGGCTGGAGTTCCGAGGAGCCACGTTCAAAGCCGAGGCCATTAGCAAGTGATTTGGTGACTTTTTCCAATCTAATTGAATGTGGATGGGCCAAAAAGGGAGGGGAAAACGGAAGCCGAGGGCTTTAAGTTGAAGTGTGGCCCAAATGGGAGGCTCAAAGAGGAGGAACACTTTAAACCGCCAGGCAAACGAAGTGCTGGTGAATTGTTCCTTTTGGCCGGCAGTTCTCTGTTTTTCATTCACTCTTTTGGCTCGGTTTAATCGCTGCCAGCTCAGTCTAGTTGCAAACTGTTTGCCCATCGGGATCCCAAAGCCATTCCCCATTCTATAACCCACCAAAACCATAGCAAACCAAACCAAACCATACCATTCCATAGCATCGCATCCCGTTCCCGTTCCCATTCGCGCTGGTCAAGTGTTGTGGTTGCCATTTGTTTGTGCCAGAAAGCCGCATCAGCAGTGGCGGAGTTGCCGGGGACTCCAGTGATTTACTACGACGAGGGGCTTCTGGGGGCGACGTGGCGTATGAGTGATGCGCCATGCATATTCATACACATTGAGATTCATTGTATTTGCGCTGCATTTCCGCAGTATTTTGTATTTTATCTGCTTTGTTCATGTTCGCTCTACTTACGACTTTTCCGCAATTTCTCTTTTTTTTCACTTTTCCCCGACAGAGAGAGAGAGAGAGAGAGAGAGTGTGCGGTTGTCATATTGCCGAGTACATACTGTACCTAGTGCCTCAGCTGGGGCTTTAAGCAGATTTATTTTCAATTAAACAAGCTCATAACTTGGCCGACAACTTGGCCGGCTGAAGTTGGCCGGCTGCTAGGCCTCCTTCTGCTTCACAGCTCCTGCGATTGAGTGTGTGCGTCCTGGCTCTTGGTTCTGGCTTAATTTACGCCACAAATTCAATTTATTTGAGATACACCTAATCCACAAAAGCAAACTTGATTTATCAACATAAATATTTTGCATACAATGTGTGAGCGCTTCCCCGCGCCTTCGCTTTTCCCCAGGAGAATGCATTTTGGTTTCGGTTTTGTTCCATTGTTGTTATTTTGTCTCTAAACTCTCGATCTCTCTGGTAGTTTGTGTGTGTGTGTATCTGTGTGTGTGTGTGCTGAACGAAATTCAATTTTAATGCACTTGAATGGATTTGAGCAGCGCTTAGTTGACTTGATTACGGGCCTTTGGCTCTGGCTTCGCTTCGGTCCACAGAATTTCATTTGCTTTATGGATTTTCCGATTCTGGATGGCCGAAACCATTTTTCCCTCGACAACTCCGGCAACTCAAACACTTCAACAACAACTCAGCAACGAAACGAACGAAACGAGACGAAATTCTTCATACTTTTGTGAAAATGTTTGTCAAGCTGCCAGCGCCAAACCAACATCGCCACGAAAGCCACTTGGCCATATCTGAAAGTATTTGTCATAACGCATATAATTTCAAGAGCTTCTCTCAAGTGGCAGAGGACATACACATGCTATACATATGCAGATGCGGAGGAAAATGCTAAATACATCCCAGGGAAATGCTGATGATAATGCAAATGAAATTATTTTTACAACATTTACTCTTGGCTCTGTCCAGTCGCAGTATAAATCATCATTTGCTCGCTCCTGTTTCCCCATTTTGTTGTTCATCCTCCTGTGAGCACCCACACATACTCACACACACAGACTAACACACATGTAATGTGCCAGGACACCACATTAGTGTCCTGCTCCCTTGGCGACGCATTCAGAAAGGAGTGGGAAACAAGGTTATGAGCTGTGGATGTGCTGCTTCCACATCCTAAAATATGATGCTGTATGGTGTTTGAGAAGAGCAGAGAAAGGTTCTAAATCAGAATGGTTACCCTATATTTTGAGAAGCCCAAAGAAAGGTGACCTTGTTATTGAATAAATTAAACTGGAATTAATAACTGTATCTTTGTATTGAGATACTTTTTTAAGATACTTTTTTACTTTACTTTACTTCATTACCAGTTTTTTTATTACTGGTTACTCATATCTACAGACAGTAACATACCACAACCCAACAAGCTCGACCTGTTTGATCTGGAAACTGTCAGTAAAACTAATAATGCGACTTCGGGGCGGGTCCAAAGCTCCTGGTAATGCCATTTGGGCCTTGTCCATCTCCTCGACCCGCTCATAAGTCATTCGAGAGCGCAAAAACAAATGCTCTGTCAATTGTCGGCCAGCCGCAAATGCTATAAAGCTGACAAATGTCGGGCGGGCGCACAGATAGATATTCCCATGGATTCCTTTTTGGGGAAGGGGGCACAAACACGGATCGCAGGTACTCATAAAACTGTCCAAATGTCAATATCCCAGACCCACGGAGCCGTGCCAGAAAAGAAAAAAAAAAAAAAAAAATATACTTTTCAGGCCGCGTTCGCTTTGATTTCGGTTGCCTGACTGGTTGACTGGCTGACTGATGATGGTTGAACGGGAAAGAGAGGGGGAAAATGAAGGGGAAGGGGAAAAGGAAGGGGATTGGGGAAGGGAATCAGCAGGACGAGAAGGCAGGACTTATTTGTTGCTGTCTGGAAAACACCTTGGCCAAGCAATTTCAATTTTCCCCACACAGCCGACAACAAGAAAATGAACATGTCAACGGCACACGTCGGATATGGACTTGGATTTGGCTTTGGTTTTGGCCCTGGGATTGGTGTGCACTATAAAAAATACTGGAAAAGTAATAAAAAAAAAGAAAATGAAAATCAGAAAGCGAAAACATAATACCGAAAGTTGTATTGTTATGAAAAGGTTGGAAAACCATAATTTTTCTTTAGGGATTAATAATCTTTTAGGTAGATCAAATTTAGTGAATAAGTTTCTTATATCTCTGTGATCTTTCTAAGTATTTCTCCCAGTGCACATTTTTGTGGCTCGGTTAACCTGTCGGCTCTGCTCGGCTGCCCCGATTCGCTGCGCCTCGATTCAATTCGATTCGGTTTTTCTGGGGGGCTTCGACGTTTTTTGGCAACTTTGTAAATATTACAAAATTTAGGTGTCTCGCTTGGTGAGTGCGCCAATGAAATATTTATGCTCACACACACCGAGTCGGTGTATCTGTGTGCGAGTGTCTCTGTTTGTGTTTGTTTTTGCACGAGCGTCGCCCCGTTTTGTGCAAATATAAACCGACCACAGTCGAAAGGGGGTTTCACAGAGAGCGGGTTCAAAAGGGGGTTTCAAAGGGGGTTTCAGAGGGGGGTTTCAGAGGGGGTCGGCGAGGACTGACTGACTGGGCCTGCCAGTTGTCTGATAAACAGACAATTTGCCAAAGTGGATACGTGCACGGCGCGTATAATTTTGGGGCACACCTGAGTCCCCGTTTCGGGCCTCCTCTCCATCTCTCGATCCTCCCCATCCTAAATTTGGCCTAGACCCCCAAAAGGAGCAACAGGAGCAGTTCAACCCCCGATCCCCTCTTTTCCCCTCTCCCCTCCTTCGACGTTCCTCTGTGGCTGTATTTTGCGGTTGTGGACTTTAGCCTGATGAGTGTATCTATGTGCGCCAGGGATTGAGTGTGTGCTTAGTTGGTTAGTTTGGCTGATGAAGCGACATTGACAGGCCAAGTGACTTCCATTCTAAGCGGCTTTAAATTTACCAAAAGAAGTTTGCGTTTAAATGGAGCTGAAAGGCTTTACTTCCTTCCTTTACAGTTGAAAATTATTCAATATAAAAACGGATAGTTATTCTTTGTACTTAACATACTGTAAAACAATTTTATTTATTTATTTCATAAATATTTACTGGCACTTACACAGTTTTCTAACTTTGTTCTGTCAAATAAAACTTGTTAATTAATAGTCACTTGAATCCCGCCGCGCTTGAGTCACTGCCTTTCATTTCAATTTTAATTTCAAGTTTGGAAATTTGAACATTTCTGCCGGCTGTATGCGTCAGTGCCTCCCACACAGCCGCTGGCCATATAGAAGAATCTCCGGCGTAACTTTTACGATTTTAATCGTGCAAATTTATGGCATTTTCCCGCACGATTTCCCCACGGACGCCGAAGCGCCCTAAAACGTATATATAAATTCGTATTCGGAAATAAATAAATGATGGAAACAAACACCCAAAACGCACACAAAGCAACGCCTATAAAACTAAACTTTGGCCAATAGTTGCGGGCCAAAAAACACAGAATATATATATATTAATCTGTATGTATTTGTGTTTGCATATCCGATGTGGAAAATATTCAGGCAAAGTCAGCGGCACCGCGAGTTTGGGACTCATAATTTTTGCAGTTGCAGCATAATAAATTTAAAACCCGCTCAGGCCGAAGGGGATTTTATTTTTTACGTTAAAAGAGGGGAAAGTGAGTTATGATGGTAACTAACTGGGCTTGGTTTTCCCTGATTTTTCCAGGTGAACGCCGGCAGCTTGTCCGAGCAGGCTGGCCTCCAGCCCGGCGATGCGGTGGTCAAGATCAACGACGTGGATGTCTTCAATCTGCGGCACAAGGATGCCCAGGACATTGTGGTGCGCTCCGGCAACAACTTTGTCATCACAGTGCAGCGGTAAGTTACTAAAATCACTTATTGAAGGGGGTGTTATTAAGGAAGTTTATGATTTTTTCTGGATATTTTAGTGGCGGTTCCACCTGGAGGCCGCATGTGACGCCCACTGGCAACGTGCCGCAGCCAAACTCGCCGTATCTGCAGACGGTGACGAAGACCTCTCTGGCTCACAAACAACAGGACAGCCAGCACATCGGCTGTGGCTACAACAACGCGGCCCGTCCCTTCGTAAGTGTACTAATTTGCAATCACGATGAGATGAGGAGAGGAGAGTAGAGTCCTCTTGCCTCCCATCATCCTGCACCACATCATTTATAAAATTCATAAACTGGCAGGCCAAAGTTGGGAATGCGGAAAGTTTTAGTGGCCCAGCTGATGCTGACGTCCTGATGATGACCAATGATGTTGATAGTTAGTTCCAGGACTCCACTCCCCTTTTACCCCGCAAACACTTTTGCGTTTATTTTGTTGTCTGTCTGTGGCTTTTCATATTCATTCATTTCATTTTCGGTCGCTGGGCTAGAAACCCTAGAACCCCAATCCCAATCCAAAACCCAAACCCAAAAGCAAACCCAAAACCCTGTGTATGAGTTGACAACATTTGCATTTATACGATGTCTGTCTGTCTGCCGCTCAGTTTGTTTGTGCGTAGTTTTGAAAAGTGTCAGAATGAGTAATGAATATGAGTGCTAGGATTATTTGCCTGGCAAGAATTAATGTGCAAAAGGTCCCTCACAAATACACATACAAACACACGCATTCGCCCACCCATTTGTGCTATGCCATGCATAGTAATGTCTCATTCGATGTGTTTTGGTGTGTGTGTGTGTGATATGCATACATTTACGTATCTTTTATTGTTATGAATTTGTATAATAATAGCTCCAGCCAATGACAACGAACATGAAATTGATTTGGGATCATTTCATGTGCCGAGTTTCAGGAACAACATTATATTATGGGGAGCAAAAGCGGCTTAATGTGATTTAAGGCTGTGTGGATGGCATAGTTCCCATTGAATTGGGATGTTGGTGAACACCTCTGGCGTTCGAATATAATTTAGTATGCAATTGCCAAAGGAACCGGACATGAAACTCAATTTGGAATTAAAATCCATTCTAGAAAGGCTTAGAAACAGTCAGACTTTAAATATAAAAGAAAGTTATTGATTATTTAAAGAGAGAAATGCTGTGAACTTAAATCAAAAAAATACTCAGGAATGATAGGGCTTCATTTCATTTACTTAAGTATTGTGAGAGGTGCAGAGAAGAGCTGAAAACAATAATTCCCAATTACAATAAGTGCGCGGGGAGTCTTTGCTTTTCCCCCACCATCTCGGCAGAAACTTTGCTCATTTCACACTTTCTCGGTGTGGCACAAGTTCTCATGGATTTACCACTTCTGGCACCTATTTTTCAGTCGAACGGCGGCGATGGCGGCGTGAAGAGCATTGTCAATAAACAATACAACACCCCGGTTGGCATTTACAGCGATGAATCTATTGCGGAAACACTCTCGGCCCAGGCGGAGGTTTTGGCTGGCGGTGTGCTCGGGTAAGTTTTTCCGGGTGGAAAAGTCGGGTGGAGGAAACTCTGGTGAAGGAAAGTCGGGTTGGCAAGGCAAACAAACAACTGTCTGGGCAGCCGCAGCCGTGACAGTGCGAAATATCGAGAAAAGTTTTACTTAAAAATGTGTTTTGCCTCGCTTTGCTTTCCCGCCGAGAAGAAAACCGAAAGAGAAAAATGGGAAATGGGGAAAAGAGGGCGTGCGAATAACCGCAGGCTGGTCGAAACGGTGAGTGCAATTTGGCAAATGATAGCCACCGCTGCAGAACTCTGGGCCAAGTGCTTCGGCCTGTGTGCCAGTTGTCGACTTTTGCCTCGGCCAAAAACGCACGCGTGGGAGAAAGCGAAGAAGGCGCCTTTAGCGCTTAATTTCTTTGGGGGATTTCTCTGGGCAACGCGGCGGATGCGTAACAATCTTGTTGCCGCCACTCACTCACTTAGTGTGGCATACTTTCGGGATGAGCTTGCCACGGCTGGGAAGCATGCTACACTGGCATCCGTTTACTCCTGCGTTTCATTCGTCCTTATTTCGGGGTTTCACTTTGCTGGCTCTTGAATTAAGTTGCCAGACAGCTTGTTCTTCTGTATTTAATATTTGTATGTTAAATATCTTATTTAATTTATATGATTTCTCTCTTTTTAAAGCGTCAACTTCAAGAAGAACGAGAAGGAATACCAGGGCGACCGGTCCGAGGTGCTGAAGTTCCTGCGCGAGGAGGAGACCGGCCAGTCCACTCCAGGTAAATTAGCCAACTTTGAGTTGGCCCGCCTGTTGCTCCTCCTAAATAACGGTGCCAATCCGTTTGCGAGCGATTAAAAAATGGGAAAGGTGGGCAGGGCGGGCAGTCTGCCAGATGTTAGTCAATGTTTTTTTTAAAACGCCCAGCAGGGACCTTGAAATGGGTGCACAATCCAAATGTAACTAAATTGTTTTGTTCTTTTGTCGTTCTCAAATATTAGACCAGAAGGCGAAGGAGATGGACTTTCGTTTCCTCTATGTGAAGACACATTTTTAGGGTCTACACACAGTCATGTATATAAATATATTAACCAACAGTTTCAAAGTCACCTGCACGGACCTTACAATATTATCGTAGATATTATAGTATTATAAAGATAACGAGTTTTATAGTTGATTGATAGGGGGGATCACACAGTTGAGTTATCTCTGTTTTCAGGTCTGATTTTACAAGACCATCTGTTAAGTGTTATAGGAGATTTATTTCTGTTTGATTTGCCAGCTCATTTCTGTCTCCCATTGACTGCTAAAGAATACTTGAAGACACAAACAGCCATTGAAAAACATACTCTCTGTCTATCTTTCCGTCTAACTCGTGTTTGTGTTTAAACTGTTTTTCATACGCACCAAAACCAACAACAACCAACAACAACAACAACTTTCGACAACCTGCTGCAATCACAACAACACTCTAAATCAACACATATATATAAACAGCATTCGGCAACAGCCACTACGAGCATGATGCACCACATCAACAACAGCAACAACAACAGCAACAATACAACCATCAGCAACAATACAACCAACAGCAACACTATCACCAGCAACAACAACATCAGCAACAACAGCAATCGAGCACCACTCGCCATGTCAGCGCCCCCGTGAACTCCCCAAAGCCCCCCAGCACCGGCGGACTCCCCACTGGCCAGAACATTTGCACCGAGTGCGAGCGCCTCATTACGTAAGTGTCGCCTTACTGGAACTCATTTTCAAGTGATAAGGGGTCTTAACTGGTTATGATAGGGTGATAAATAGTAAAGAGATGTCTCACAAAGTCAATGATTATAAGAGATACCTTCAAAACAGTTAAAAGATGATTCCAACATATCGTTTTAAGATTATTCAGTTAATACTTCTTTAAAGTTTTTTAAGATTTTGTCGGAATATATTGAACATAAATCAAAGTTATCTATTTTAAAGTGGCTTATTAGTATACGTTCAATTAAATAAGACATTTGTATTTTTAATGAAGATAGATTTTCTGATTCTCTTTATATAAATTCTAACTGTTCAAAGGGTTAAGTATAATATGAAGTCAGAAAGAATGCTAAATGTATTTTCACAAGGATACAAATACTTTAAAAGGTTTTGTTTTTAGAGACAAAGCAATCTGCTTTACTATTCATCACCTTATCAAGCGAGTGAGCACCCCTCCCCATTGCGTGTGTAAATTGGCATTTGTGTGTGCACATTGACTAACAGCAACAACAGCGATGCTTCTGCATTATTAACTAATTCCCAGCAATTAGTGGGGCGAGTATTCGAGGGGATCCCTTTTCCAGGAGCAGACTCTAGGCAGGTTGTGTCCATGAATTTCCAAATAACTGATTGAGCTTTTCCGCTTTAACGATGATTGTGATTACGATGATGTTCCTGATGATGCTGATGATGCTCCTGATGATGCTGCTGATTATGTAGAGCCACACAGTCCGGCGAACTTCTACTGGACACAAAGCCATGCGATTGGCGGCAACGAGCGGCGGACTCCGCTGCACCATCAATTCGAGCAGCAGGACGAGCGGATTGGGGTGCCATTGCAATCGAACACTTTGGCGCCGTCGGCAACGCACAGGCCCAGTTTGCCAGTGGCCCAGAAGGACAAGGAGGAACTGGCCAGACAGGATCAGAATCAGCAGCAGGAGCAGGCTGATCCGCGCATCATTGTGCTGCCCATCTGCCCGGGTCTCCAGGGACCGGAGTACAAGGCCGAAATGGAGGCGGCTGCCGCGGCTCTGGCCACCGACCAGGATGGACGACCACGTCCATTGGCCGCCAGCGGACATCCGGCCTGCCAGCTGTGCGGCGTGGGCATTGTGTAAGGACTCGTTGTTCCACGTTCCACGTTCGCCGTTCACCGTGCAACATTCGCTGTTCGATGGCCATTCATGCCACATCCCGTTTACCCCTTCCCCAGTGTGTCTGCATTTTAATTCCACCGCTTTTATTCCAACGAACTCGCAGCGACGAAGTCAATTGTTTGAAATTCACGCACTCCCAAACAACACCTGAGCTCCAGCCGCGTACTACTATATATTATATAAAGCCCCCTGATCCAGACCAGATCCAGATGGGAGCCATCATTTGTATTAATTTGTATGCCAATTTAATTGGCTCGCCAGCGCGCAGCTTAACTCGATAATGCATTATAGCTTTTTACATATTTCTCGCATTACCTGCCTGCCAGGGAAACTGTTTCGATGTGTGTACACACAAATGCACAGCGAACTATCATTGGTGATTTGTAATCAAGTGCTGTTCGATCAATCATTGAGTTTAATGTCTGCCAAATCGATTTCGAGGGGCTCTTCAATGGCTTAAATACAACAAATACCTGATTTTAAAAACTCTAATCTAGCTTTTGCCCAGTTAAATACTTTTTAAATGGTAATCCCTCACGATTTAAATAAAAAGGGCATTCCAAACACTTGAAGAGCCCCTCGAACTGTCTCTCTCCATCGTGAAAACCTGTCTGATATTCCCACTTTTCGCCCATCAATTTTCCAGCGGCGTTTTCGTGCGCATCAAGGACAAGAACCTGCACGTGGAGTGCTTCAAGTGTGCCACCTGCGGCACCTCGCTGAAGAACCAGGGCTACTACAACTTCAACAACAAGCTCTACTGCGACATCCACGCCAAACAGGCCGCCATCAACAACCCGCCCTCCGGAACCGAGGGCTATGTTCCCGTCCCCATCAAGCCGTAAGTGATCGCAGTTATCCGGATATTTCCTTTGATTTTTTATTGTCGCATGCCCCCCCTTACACGGCCAATTGGTCAGTGCCGGGTGGAGTGGGGAGTAGGGAGGGGGTTTGGGGCTCAGATGAAAATGAAATATAAATAAATTCAGCGCATTCACTATATGACAAAATACAACTGACACGACGACGACGAAAAATCACCAATGCTAGCCGAAAGTTTACTTATGGAAAATTCAAATACTCTTGAAAAAGATACTTTTACTAAATATTTTGTTAAAAAATATGTGCAATTTACCTCCGACTTATAACATAAGTTTTCTATTCTGATATGTTTTTACCTCTGAATAACATTTGTGCACAAATCATTAACGATTTTAAGTCTTTTGGCTTTAGTGTCTTATTCCGACATTATATTTAAAACATCCTAATGTTTTTTATACAAATCTTTCATAAATTTACCTTTATAAATTTCTGAGTACCTAGAGTATTTAACAATCGATTTCTTATCCCCAAACAATTCAGTTGCCTCGTTTTGTTTCGGTTGGCCACTTTCCACGTTTGGAAATGAAAGAGGCGACACTGATTGCTCTGCTGACGTGTCATCGGCTGTGCCGCAAATTTTTAATAAATGAATTGGCAACACATGTGTGTGCGGCCCATACTTTGCATGCCAACTAAAGCGCTGGCCAACGAACTGGGGATGCACTTACCCGGCCATCGATTTTGTCCACTGGGACTGTAAAATATGAAGGGCGAATCGCTCGAGGGTGTGCGAGATACTGTTGGTGTGTCAAAAATGCATACGACCAGTGACAGTTGCAATTTGCATTCAGTATTCGGTGTTCGGCATTTGGCATTTGCCATTTGGAATTTGTTTGGGGTTTGCCGGCGTGCTGTTTGCTTAATTTAAAACGATGTCGTTGGCCAAAACCAAATTAAAGGTCCTGCACTGGGGGGCAATTAGGCGAATGGCTGGTGACAGGCAATTACCGCCGGCGAATCTGATTTACCAGGCACTTGTCTAAGCCATCTCTTTTATCGTTTTTTGCTTTTTTGTGTTTTGCTTTCAGCAACACCAAGCTGAGTGCCTCCACCATCTCGTCGGCCTTGAATTCGCACGGATACGGTGGCAGCTCGAACGGCTACTCCAATGGAAACTCCACTCCGGCTCCGGTGAGTAAAGTGTGTGGCGTTCCCCGCACCGTCCACGTAAATTGTTAACTGTTCCCTGCCGTGGCTAAAACAATGTCAGACACTCACCGAAACACAGATAGCCTTATAGCTTTATAGATATAGACACAGAACACAGAACGCTCGAAAAACAAGGGCAAGAAAGCTGACGGAGGAGTTCCCCTCACTTTCCACCTTTTGCACCTGCTTTTGTAACATTCAATTTTATCATATTGCCAGCAAGAATGTTTGCTTAAACTCAGCAAAATTCGCCGGAAGCCCGAGCATCCGACATATGCTAAAATGTTAAAAATCATCTGCAGTACAAGAACAAACAAGAGCGTCAGGGAAAAATGCAATATAAAGCAAAAAGTTTTTGCCTGCAGAGAAGTTTAAGCATCTCGGCCAATTTTATAAAAGAAACGCTTCTTGTTTACTATTTTCTTTGCTTGTCTGCTTTACGATATTCCTCAGTTTTCTTGGCCACAAAGCGATCAAATGAAAATGGAAAAGTTTTATGCATTTGCCAGCACAGAGGAAAAATTAAGCTTACAAAAATTTATTTTCAATTTATTAATTTGAATAAGCCTGAATATAAATGGGATACATTTTCTAAAGTTTTACTTTTTGCATTAAATTTTTCTCTGTGTTTGCCCTTTGTTTTTGTGTTTGCCTGTGTTTCTATTTATTTTTCTCTGTGTTTTTGCGTGAGTCCTCTGTTTGCCCTGCATGGAGTTACCATATTGTTTATGTTTATGTTTGTTGGATCGAACGACCTACGGCTGATTGGGTAAGCAGATCAAGGGGGCTTTCATTGAGGAATTGTAGACAGGGACAGTTGGATCAATCCGATCGACAGATTGATTGCACGGGTGTATAAATAGTGCACGCTGCACAGTATATTTTACTATTCTTCTATTTTTCTGAATCTCATTCTGCCGCGGCCAGCGCATTTCGCGAAAATGTGCAATGGCTGCTAAAAGCTAAATATATATGCCAAGCGCTGCTTTTTACTCATTTCGCCTTATGTTTGTATCTTTTTTTTTTTTGCTATTTTGAATTTTTTTTATTTTAGTTTTCTATAAAAAACACACAGCTGCGGCGATTTGGCAGCTTTTCGGCCGCCGTGGCCGCAGTTTCTTTGCGCCCAGTGCTCGGTGCGCATCTCGTTTTCGAAAACCGTGTCCGTGTCCGCGAAGTGTCCGTTAGTGTGTCCGCAGCGAGCGGACACCAGACAAGGCGACCGATCCGTCCACGGAAAGTGTCCAGTAATCAGTTTTTTATTACTCTAAACCTACGATTAACGATCAGCGACCAACGATCGAGCGAATCAAGTGAAACGACTGCTTTTCAGTGATTTAGGCCTAGGAAAAGCCTGCTAGCGAAAAAGTTTGCAAAGGTTGCATAATCACTTGAGTGCCAAGCCCAAGGAATATGGCTTCCTTTTTCAGTTTTTCCCCTGAGGGAGTGTGGCTTTTATTTAGCCCGCCCATTGACCTTGACCTATTAGCCAATTTTAGAACACACACATACACACTTATACACGCACACACGGGGTTTTAGTTCATCAGCCGTAGGTTGTGTGCCACCTGCTTTACTTTGCTCGAGCATTCTCATTAACTGCCTTTTGTATTAACCCCTTGTTGCGCCTGCTCCCCGCCTGCCTGTGTCGCATTAACCCATTTAGCCTGAGTCTGAGAGCAGCCAGGAGTTGCCCCTGCCGCCACCCCCCTCGCCCACCCAGCTGCTGCAGTACGAATCGGAGTCCCCGGAGCAACATGTGTCCCCCAACCAACAGCAACAGCAGCAGCAGTTGCAGCAGCAAAAGCAGGAGCACACGCGCACCCACAGCAGCCTGTCGTCCATCTCCAGCGGATCCTCCTCCTCCGGAGTGGGCGGCAGTGGCAGTGGGAGTGGCAGTGGCAGCGGCAGCGGAATGGGATTGGGAATGGGGAGTGGAGTGAGCCAGCAGAGCCAACAGAGCTACTCATCCACGCTATCGCTCGACCGCTTCGGTTCGCCTTTGCATTCGCGGCAGACATCCGCTTCGTCCACGTCGCTGGAGGTGGGTCCATTGCCACCCGCTCCCCTGCCACCTGCCACTGCCACCGCCGGTCAGGTTGATAATTACACAATGCCCCATGCCCCGCCCTCGCCGCCGCCGCCGCCTCCTCCTTCGCAGAGTCAGTCGGTGACGAATTACAGGCTGCAGGCGCAGAACGAGAATGACATGAATACGCAGAACAAGGGCCCCAATGCGTACAACCAGCTGTTGAAAGAGTACTCCAACAAGCTGCAGCAGCAGCAACACCCCCACAACAGCAACAACAACAACACTACACCCGCACAGAGACACAACAACACGGCCAAGCCCTTTGCAGCTGCAACAGCAACAACACCACAACAGCAACAACTACAGCACACGCAACACCAACAACAGCCGCTTGTGGCAGCGCTAACGGCGACACTTGCTAATCAATTGAAATTTAACCCACATCAGGTTGCAAGCCCCCAAGCAACAGTAGCAACAGCAACAGCAACAGCAATACCATCTGCCACAGCAGCAACTGCAACAGATAGCCTAGCTGCAACAGCAACAACCTCAACAGCAACAGCAGCAACAACAGCAACGGCAGACAATATGTCGGCCTACGTGGCGGATGAGCCATCTTCGATTTATGGCCAGATTAACAGCAGTGCCAATCCGCCACCCCCACAACTTCCACCCGCCAATGCCAGCGGGGGCGATCAGCCCTTCGAGTACGTCACGCTCACCGGCAACGTCATCCGCAGCGTACAAGCCCCCGGAAAGGGGGCGTGCCCCAACTACAAGGTAATCCCACTCCCAATCCTTCCCCCAATTAAACGAAGGTCGAGAACAGCGAAGGCAGGATGTTGCAGGGGACATTTAATCAGAGATTACTTTAAACAACGTTTCAATTGTTAGAGGAAATATGTTTCACATTTGTCTATTTACTTAGTCAAACAATTATTTTTTATTTGTTCTTCTCAAAGTTAAACATTTGTTTAAAGCTTAAAGTAAATTCTTTATTTAATCAAATGGCTATCATTTATTCTTAGCTGAATTGATTCTAATGTAATTTCCTTTAATTACTTTGCACTTGAGGTTGATCTTGAAATTAAATTATTTTGTTAGGTATTTACTTTAACCAAAACTATAAATTTGAATCTATTATAAACAGTTTCTTTGAGAATTCCTTTAGTGTCATAAATCTAGTTAGCCCATTAAAATGTTTGGCTTTATGCCATGCTATCCGATTTTAAGTAATATTTTTTTTGGTTGAAACATCTGCCTTTCGTTGTTCAATTGCCCAATCAACTACAATCAACAACCCAAAAAGTAAGTACTTTTCTGCTCCGCTTGGCTCGCAGCGCAGCTCGCTCAGCTCAAATCTTTGATCTGAGATCAGATCAAAAACTAACTGACTTCTGTTAAGTGTGTTTTCAAGTGTTTTCCGAAGCGAATCGAATCAAACCGAAATCAAAGAACACCAAGCTAATAACCCACTTCCTACTTATTTCCGTTCAAAGGTCAACCAGGGGTATGCTCGTCCCTTCGGTGCCGCCGCTCCCAAGTCGCCGGTGAGCTATCCGCCGCAGCAGCAACAACAATCGCCGCGTCCCGCTCCCGGCAACAACAACATCAACAACAACCCGTACGCCACTTTGCCCCGCAGCAATGTCGGCCAACAAGGTAAGGCTGATGACGACGACTGTCTGTCAGAAGGTGAATGGGTCTAGTCGCTTAAGCCAATCGAGATATATTATATATACTGTACTTGTGCCATATACCAAATACCAAATGCCCTGTTTAGCCCAAAAATTAGTTCCCCTTTTGTTTGTTGGCAAGAAAATCGAATAGAAACGAAATAATTACTGAGTGATAGGCAGTCGATCGATTGTTGTATAGTATTAACCGGATTTCTGTTTTGTAACGATGATGAGTTTTATATACCTATATATATATATATACCTTTTTTGATCGAAATAAATTGCACTTGACTTAACCGTAAAGAAAGAGAAGAAGAACTAACAAATTACCGAAATTATCGAGATGCTTCTTGCGAAATTTACTAAACCATTTTCTGCTCGTTTTACACCCCGCCCATGTGAGCAACTAAATGAAAACTATTTGGCAAATGTGGCTGCATAAAACACTCAGCATAGTTTAAGTTACCCTACACAACAGACACCTTAGATATATAGTGTCTGCTGCCTCTGTATATATATACCGATACCAATTCATCTGTGTGTGTGCTGTGTACATATATGTAGGTCGTAATGTAAGGTACCAACAGCAGCAGCAGCAGCAATATCAGCAGTACAACAATCAGCAGAAGCAGCAGTTTAGGAACTCTTACCCCATGGGATCTAATTATAGCACCCCGAGTCAGTCCCCCTACATCACCTCCACCCCGAGCAGCAGCAACAACAACAAATACAACAGCTACAACAACAACTATAGCACCTACAACAACAATAACAATAATGTGTATCGAGGTAAAACGCTGCCAAAATGCACACAAGTTGCCAATGCCTCGCAGCCGAAGTTTCAGTTGTTCAGTTGCCGTAGATTAATTCACTTGTTGAGTCCGATATCATCCGATAGCTGCTGCTTTAATGAGTTCTGCTATATATCACCCCATATATGCCCACGCCCCCATGCCCAGCCATCTATATAAGCCCCTTTTGGTTCTGAATACGAAACCTCCAACCAACCAAACGAAACCCCAAACCCCTTTTTGCTCCATCGTTAATAATGGAAACATTTTGTTGACAAACTCAATCAATAGGTGGGGAAACATTTTAAAATGTGTTTATCATTATTACGGGCCCAGACGGGAAATTAAAACTGACAATGGCCGATGTAACCACGGGTCGGAAAATGGCGGCGGAGGCGGTGTTATCGCTGCTGGTTTCAATGCCAATGCGATTGCCATCTTCCACTTCCGTGTGCCAGTCGAAAGTGCTGAAAGGCGAACGCAAATGCGAAATCGCAGGGAAAATATTGGGGTGGCACTGAGTGGGTGGTTGGGAAAAACCCATACCCCAACCCAAAACCAAACCAAACCGACCCGAAAAACCAAACCAAACCATACCGAACCGAAATGAAAGCAAACCAAACCGATACGCTGCGTATACGTAACGCATATTCGTTGCCAGTGCAACGAAACGAGAGCCATACATGTTCGCAGAAATAAATGATATAAAATGTATTCGGTTGCCGCTGCAATTCCTGCCTCAGCCTGCGATTCTGTTGCCACTGCGGTGGCAGCTCCACCTCCGCTCCTCAGTCCTTTAGTTCTGCCGGGAAAGGGCTTTAAATGCAGCGCAAATATCCCATTGGGGAAAATGAAGAAGGCCACAGACAGTGGGTGCTAAAAGATAAATCCAAGTAATAACTTAGTGGAGTAAAAATAAATAGAAATTTCAAATGCAATCAATGGAGATTTCTTTTTACTTTTATGATATTCATATAGTTCAAATTTCCTTACAATTTCTCCACATTTATCCAAGGTGCATTTAACTTTCCCACTCACTGTGCCTTTGCGGCTTTAACAAGAACACTTTGGGGCCTCTCGCGGCAATTTCTGGTATTTTTTCTTCACCATCTCCACATACGTATATATGGTATCCCTGCTCCTCCGTGTTTGTCCGTCTGTCTGTTTGTTTGTTTGTTTGTTTATCAATTACCGCACCGCGATGCTGGGCTGTCATAACGGAAATGAATTAACAACAAATATGGCGGCACCAACAATTGCACTCCCAATTTATGGGGCAATTTTTTCCAGTGCTCCCTCTGTTGAGCAATTAAAAATACAATTAGCAGTGGGGAGGCGAACGGAGCGCTTTCTGCTCGCATAAATCTTCATTTCGCCGGGAATCAATCTCCTAATCAAAGCGAAAATCACGCACAACCGCAGCAATCATTTGGGGTTTTTGGTTTTCGGGAAACCTTGGCGGCCCCCCAAAAAAAAAAAGAAAGCGGGTGGCGGCATATGAGCAAATCCAGTTCCAATTTGCTTGCCGCAGAATTCGGAGAGGAGGGGAGAGGAAAAACAGAAGGAAATGTGCTGGCAAACAAATGTTTGCCTTGCACAAATGCCGACACGAACAGCCAGCCTTCCCACACGGAGCGGGAAATGTAAACGAAAGCAGATAAATTACCAGCCATTATTATACGAACAAGCATCCGCCTCAGTTTTCCCCGCACAGTTTTCCCCCCCGCACAGTTTTCCCGGCCAAAGTGGCCGAATATTGAAGCGTGCCAAGGGGCCATATATCATTGGGTTTGGCATTCGTCAGAAGAAGGATTTATTCGTTGCTATTTGTCGGAATCGGAATTGGGATCGGAATAGGGATCGGGCGGAACTATTGTCCCGGGCTCCTCATTAAGCATAATCCCACGAATAACTTTTGTTTTGGTTTCTGCTTCTTTTAGGTTACGGTTACCCCTACACGTATTAGAAATCCAATCCCAATGCCCCGCCCACAACCGCGAATAAAAGGCGTGCAAAGTTGGCGAAATTCTGGAAAACAAACACACACATGTTCTACAATTACCTAAGCATACTATCAAATTTTGATTGGAATACTATGAGTTTTAAGCAATAAACTGCAGATCTATACTTCAAAGAAATGTCCCCAATGATTTTTATAGCAATCATAGTATAAATGCTTATTGCCTAACCGCATTCTGCTTAAAGCGCTCTGAACAGTCAGTCTATATTGGATATATAGTATACTATATATCTGTCTATATAAGTACTAATCAAACTGTGTCCCCGGCTATTCTAAGAATTTCTTTCTTTTGCACAACTTTGCATGCCTTTTGTCTAAGCACAATGGGGGTTCAAACGAGAAAACAGGGCCAAAAATAATAAACATCATGGGAAACTTTTACCAAATGCCCTGGCGGCCTCTTATTATTATGGCCGAAAAGTTTCTGTTTCTGTTTTTGTATTTCTGCTGCCAACATTTTTGATATGACAAAATATTTGCGGCAATAATTTCTGCTCGTTTCGTATCGTTTCGCTGGCTTGTTTGTTTTCCGTTTGTTTCTGCCGCAGAAGCGGTCCTTTGTCCTTTAGTCCTTTAGTCGTCGTGTTGGTCTGTGTGTTTCTGCCATTTTCAATTTCTGCGAAATTACAGCCAATACCGAATTATGCATAATAAAATCCAATGACTACCTGTCGACGCCATTTTTGCTAGCAGTCTCTGGGTTTTCGGGTTGGGGTATCCTTTTTTTTTTTTTTTCTCCTCCTGTTCCGTTATGTTTGAAGGGGGAGGGGGAGGGGGGAAATGCAGACGTGGGCCCATAAAAAATGGAAGTAAATATGCGTGCCTGCTCCGAGTTTCTGTGCGGTGTGTGTGCGAGTGTGCACGCGTGTGTTTATTGTTGTTCGCCATGAAAATGGCTCTGAAAATAAGAAATAAAAAATTTATTCGCCTCGGCAAAGGGGCATAAAAAGTTGCCACGCCCCCTGCCGCCCTCCACACTCCACACTCGACCATTGTTGAATCGCATTTAATATTTTCCCTCTTTATATGGCCAACGATACACCGTTGTTTGTTTGTCTGTCAACAAATTGCAATCGGGGTTTGGGGTTTGAGGGGGGAAAACTTTTCCGATCCACTCATTGCTTCGCTTCGATTGAGTTTCCCGACTTAACCAGAACTTGAGCCACTAGAAGAAGCCCTCGTCGAACCACTCAGTCCATTACCCACACTAAACACAACACCACCACCACAAAAAGCGAACAAAATCAGGATTAAGTTGCTTTAGTTTTCTGCCGCCTTTTTTGCCTTGTAGTTTTTAGCCAAGTTGCGTCTACTGATTATTGTAGTTTGTAAGCGCCTTCGAATCCGCTGCCGCTGTCGCCGTTGCTCCACCACCGAATTACCGAACTACTGATCCACTCAACCACTTGTGCCACTGATCCACTCGAGCCACTGATCCACTTGAGCCACTGATCCACCACCAACAACGCTCTGCCGCTTTCTCAGTGCCAAGGACTAACAAGCGCTTGTCTTTTGTTTCTTTCTGCTCTTATATTTGCCCCCTCCGCCAAATAAAAAACCGAATTAAAACCCAACTAACCCCTTAAATGCACTGCAAAAAAAAAAACACTGCTCCCCCAAAAAAACACTTGACCCTGCTGTTCCGCCGTTAAAAAGGTGGAGAGGTTGCGGAGGAGCTGCAGCCGGAGTTCGAGGAGGAGGACTGCTACGAGGTGGACATCGAGGTGGCCCTGGCCGCCAGTCGCCAGTCGCAGCGGGGCTCCAGTTTCACCTGGCCACCGCCGCAGGACGACAGCCACTTGGCGCCCACCGCCGCTCCCCTGTACATCCCTCCCCCGGAAACGCAGCACGTGGTGGTCGCCAATCCGGTGCAGCAAGTGCCGCCTTTGCCACCCGGAGGCGCCACCACCCGACTGGATCCGCAGCCTCAGGATGCGCAGGCTCCTCCGCCGCAATGGCAGAGCTACTCGGCTCCCCAGTTGACCACCTCGAATGGCCGCCAGTTGGCGGGGGAGCAGGAGTCCAGTTCGGATAGCTACACATCCACCTCGACCACGACGACCACCACTTCGGAGGAGTACCAGCGGATGTACGCCGCCCAGGTGCAGGCCTACCAACTGCAGGAGCAGTCCGGTTCGGAGTTCGACTACCAGGTGGACTATGGCAGCACCCAGGATTCCATCCAGGATTACCCCTCGGGAAGGAGGAGCGCCCAGGAGTGCGTGGACTCGCTGGCGGTGCCGCTGAGCACCTACAAGCTGGTGGACATGGTAAGGGAGGTGACGCCCAGTCCCGTGACCACGCCCACTCAAACTCCCGCTCCCGCCCCCTCCGCGCGTCGCGTGGTCTTCAACGACGAGCCGGAGATCAAGGAGCTGCCTGGTGAGCTGGAGACCATACCGGAAGCCATTGAAAGTGCCGATGATCGCGAGGGTCTGGTGATCGAGCAGCGCTGCCAAATCCTGGAGAGCGAGCGGAAGTTCCAGCCGACGCCGGAGATCAAGATCGAGATTGCCCCTGTGAGACAGATACCGCCCACCAAGATCCCCAATCCCTCGCCCAAGGAGTGGATCAATCCGATGATCCGGGTGCTAACCACAGCGCCGGAGGTGCCCTTCCACCTGGTCGAGTGTCCCTTTCCCCGCCCATGTGGCGATGACTTCGAGGAGGAGGCGGCCAGAGCCGCTCAAGAGGTGGTGGCTCCTCCGCCCGCCAATCCTCCTCCACCAGCTCCTCAACCAGTTGAAGTTCCAGTTCCTGCTCCTGTGGAACCCTTGCCCGCTCCTCTGAGGGAGTCTCCTCCGCGGGGTGCCCGCCTCTCCCAAGCCATGGTCACCGCTCCCGAGTTCGAGCTCAAGTTCGCTCCCCCTCCGATCAGGGTGTCCCTCTGCCGGAGGAGACGGAGCCGTACATGCCACCACCCATCGATACGAAACCCTATCTGCGGGAGGACTACCGCCCCAAGTCGCCGTTTGTGAGTGCGCTGACCACCGCCCCGGAGCGTCCCTTCGAAGGCCACTTCGACAAGGACGTGCCCATCCACATGATCGACCTGCCCACCCCCAAAGAGCACCTGACCATGTCCGATGCCCTGTGTACCGCCCCCGAAAGAGGATACACGCCCCTCAATCCCGAGAATGCCACGCATCGCGTGGACGAGGAGCAGAAGCAGCAGGAACTGAAGAAGCGTGAATTTCAGGTGCTCGACCACGAGGAGGAGCTGGGCATCCGTCCGGAGCCGCCGCAGTCCGTGGAGTACTTCGAGACGCGCAGGGATCAGCCGAGGAAGTCCTCCGCCTTCGCCGCCATGCAAGCATTCCAGCCATCCCGCGAACCGCTCTCCTCGAACTCCGTCTCGAATGCGGGAAGTGTGCAGGACACCCCAAGAGCTTCGATTGTCTCCGCTCTGAAGGAGGAAACGGATCTGGAGTACCAGAAGTACTGCAAGGCGCAGCAGCGGAACCAGAAGCGGCTAGACTTCTACCACAAGAAGGAGGAGGAGCTGTCGGGCATCCAGGGACTGCAGCTGACCCAACTGCAGAGGGAGCTGTCCAACCAGCAGCAGAGCCTCCTGAGCGAACAGCAGTTGCAGCAGGCGAAGTTGCTGCAGTTGCAGCAGTGCGCCCAAAGTCGGGAGTTGCAGCAGCAGATGCAGCAGATCGGACGCAAGTCGCAGCAGCAGCAGCAACACTCCCAACTCTCTGAAACACCCAGAAACCAACAGCAACAACAGCAATCTCAACAACAACAACAGCAAATCCCATCCGTAACCCAACAGCAACATCGACCTTCTCTCACCCAAAACCAAAACCAAAACCTGTTAACCCAGCAAAGTGCTCAGTCTCAGAGTTCCGCTAACTCCTCTTCCACAGTCCCACCTGCCACCGCTTTTGCTCCAGCTCCAGCTCCAGCTCCAGCTCCTGCTCCAATTCAAGCTCCAGTTAGAGCTCCTGCTCCACTGCAAGTTCAACTGCCTGCTTTACCTCAATTACCTGCTCCCAAACAAACACTCGCTGTACATAGCGCCCAATTCGATGCCCACGAACTGATCGAGGAGACCGCCGAGGAGCTCGAGCACTCGGAGGTCCTGTTTCCGCCGCCCTCCCCGCTCAGCCACCTGACCAAGCAGGGCAAAGCCGTACAGTCCGGCCTCCACAAGGCGGACAGCATACCCAAGTACCAGCGCAACTGGACGGTGCTGCCCACCCAGAGTCCCATTCGCACCCCGGAGCCGCAGGAGCTGCGCGAGAACGTCCCGCTGGCCTTCGTGGATGCTCCCAAGGCGCCGGTGGCCACCAGCGAGTGCTCCACTGTACATAGACCCATAGCCCTTAGCCAGGCGGTGGCTCCGCCGACAACTGTGGTTGCTCCCTCCAGGGAAAGGGAACCGGAGAGGGAGCGGCGACCGCAGCTGTCGGTGCCCATCATAGTCGAGGATCGATCGGGTCCAGTAACGATGGCTTTCCAACCGCTAGACGAACTGGTGCGTCCGGATCAGGCCCTCACGCCCACCAGGCCGTACACGCCCTCGCTGACCAACAAGCCGGCTCCGATTGTGCCCTTCTACCAAACCGAGGAGAAGCTCGTCTTCGAGGAGTGCTCGGCCACCCATGCCAGGAACTACAGCGAGCTGACAGCCTCGCCCTTCCCCGATAGAACTCGATCCCCCGCTCCAGGACCACCGCCCAATCCACTGAATGCCATCAGAGCTCCAAGGATGAGGGAACCAGAGGTCAAGTCGAACATCCTATCCGTTTCGGGAGGAGGACAGCGCCTGCCCGCGGGATCCATCACCACTGGCCAGAGTTACCAGGGCCAGTTGCTCGCCCATTCGGAGCAGAGCAGCCAGTCGGCCAGCCAGAGCTTCAGCCAGCAGCCGGAGAGGATCACGGAGCAGCGGGTGGGCAACCTGAGTGTCCAGCAGAGGGAGCAATCCTCCCAGCTGCAGCAGCAGGCTCAGTCGCAATCGCAGAGCCAAACGCGCAGCCAGGTGGGCAACACGCAGATCGAGAGGCGTCGCAAGGTCACCGAGGAGTTCGAGCGCACCCAGAGTGCCAGGACCATTGAGATTCGCACGGGTTCCCAATCCGTCAGCCAGTCAAAGGCACAAACCCAATCAGTAACTCAAAGCCAGGCTCAGCAGCAATCGCAGAATCAAAACCAATCGGATACGGAGCGCAGATCCTCGTACGGCAAAACAGGATTCGTGGCCAGTCAGGCGAAGCGTTTGTCCTGTTTGGAGCAGGAGATCACCAGCCTGACCAGTCAATCGCAGGCTATCAGTGCCCGGGCTTCGGCTCTCGGCGAGGGATGCTTCCCCAACCTCCGATCGCCCACCTTCGACTCGAAGTTCCCCATCAAACCGGCACCCGTTGAATCCACAGTGCCTGGCTATGGAGCTCCAATCTCTTCGGGCAACAAGCTGACAGTTCCACCACCTGGTTTCCTCCAACAGCAGCAGCTGCAGCAGCAGCAACAACAGCAGAGATCTGCCTTCTCCGGTTATCAGGCAACCACCTCTTCAGTACAGCAGAGCTCGTTTGCGAAAGCCACCTCCTCATCGCTCTCATCCTCACAAGCATCAGCATCTCAGTCTCAGTCTCAATCGCAAACTGCTTCGAGATCGTCGCAAAGTCTAACCCAAGCTTCTGCTATTACTACCACCACTAATAACCAGGCCACCACGGCCTTCAGGAGAGGCAGCAATAGCAATGGCAGCCAAACTCAGCCTAATCCGGCCTCGCGGCCATCCATCGCTTCCATCACAGCTCCAGGATCGATCGGTGCTCCACCGCCGAAAGCCATTGCTCCATTGAAAGCTCCGATCGCCCCGAAATCGGTGATCGCTAACGCAGTTAATGCCGCCGCTCCGCCTGCGCCCGCTGTCTTTCCGCCAGACTTGAGTGGTCTGAACTTGAACTCAAGTGTGGATGATTCCCCCCAGGTGCCGGAAACAAGAGCGCCGGAGCCTTCGGAGCCACCTCGGCACCCAAGAGGGGTAGAGGTATCCTGAACAAGGCCGCCGGACCCGGAGTGCGCATCCCCTTGTGCAACAGCTGCAACGTGCAGATCAGGTGAACACGAGAGCATCCCGGAGTTCTGTTGTGTTTTCAGTTTGTGATTGAAGTTCTGAATGTATTACTTTTACCCCTGAGTGAAACTAATCAAAAAAGAAGTGTCAAACACCTGACTTGTTCCCATTTTATCCATTTAATCTATGTTATGTTCAATAATTCTAGTTTTAAGAGTTAATTTGTTTTGTTTAGCTTTCCTCTGAACCCTTACTAATTTACCTGCCAGTAAACCTAACCTCGCTCGCTTTTCATGTTTACCCCGATTTGTTGCAGTACCCGCAGGATTGAATACCGCTGCCAAGGCCACTAATCCGCATGCTAATCCCCAAACCTTTGCCACCTTGCCACGCCCCCATCCCCAGGCAACTGACTCCGCCTCGCAGGAATTGGAAAAGGAGATTCCCCTCCAGGAATCAGATGCCACTTCCATGCTGGCCGAATCCGTGGGAAAGATAAACATGGGCGATAAGACCCATGCATTTATGCAGGAGGCTGGAAAGATCATCACCAATATGCTGGAGGCACGATTGGCCAACAATGGTGGCCAGAATGCCCCACTTTCCCATGCCGGAAGCAACTTGAGTTTGCGCAGCAACAGCAGCTCCAATCTCTCCAAGAGTCCGATGATTGTGCGCAAGCGCCTCGATCTCGATGACTTCAAGAACTTGGATCCCACCCAACCGGTGGCTCTGCAGCCTGTGATTGCGGTGCATCCACAGAAGGATATTCCCACCGAATTGGGCAACCAGAAGGCTCAACCGCAGGTTCCTCGAGTAGAGCAATCAATGCAAATGGAGCTGCCATCCCAGCATCCCATGAGCAAAATCCTAGATCTCTGTGATGGCGGCAAGGCCATCGAAGCACCCGAACCGGTGGCCTTTAGGAACAATTTGAGACGCACTGGAGCCACTCATGCGGCTGATAGAAGATCCTACATTGAACCCAAACAGGCAGTGAACAGTGGAGCTACTGATCTTGTCCAGAATGGCAATCAGAATGGGGAGCCAAGCAAAACCCAGAATGGCTCCACCACCTACAGTGTTTCCGTGAAGGCATTGGGTCCTCACAGCGAGGATCAAACAACGATGTCGGAGGAGAACGAGAGGGCAGTGAGTCAGTTGCTCAAGGAGGGTAAGCGACCAGTGTGCTGTCAGTGCAATAAGGAGATCACCTCGTGAGTAAAGCTTGCTTTCTGTTCAACTAAACTGTTAACTTAACAAATAGTAGTTAAAGTTCTTTAACTAATTTGGTAATTCATTTCCCCAGAGGACCATTCATCACGGCTTTGGGACGCATCTGGTGCCCGGATCACTTCATCTGCGTGAACGGCAACTGCCGTCGTCCTTTGCAGGACATTGGCTTCGTTGAGGAGAAGGGCGATCTGTACTGCGAGTACTGCTTCGAAAAGTACTTGGCGCCCACTTGCAGCAAGTGCGCTGGCAAAATCAAGGTGGGTCTATAATTAAAACCATATAAATACATTCAGTTAATCATTTTTTTTTGTATTTAAAAGGGTGACTGTTTGAATGCCATTGGTAAGCACTTCCATCCGGAGTGCTTCACCTGCGGCCAGTGCGGCAAGATCTTTGGCAACAGGCCCTTCTTCCTGGAGGACGGAAATGCCTACTGCGAGGCAGATTGGAACGAACTGTTCACCACCAAGTGCTTCGCCTGTGGCTTCCCCGTGGAAGCTGGCGATCGGTGGGTGGAGGCCCTGAACCACAACTACCATAGCCAATGCTTCAACTGCACGGTAAGTAGTCCTCTATATTTAATTTAATTTATCATGATTTTTAATGGATTATTCTCTGCTTAAATAGTTCTGCAAACAGAACCTGGAGGGACAGAGCTTCTACAACAAGGGCGGTCGTCCCTTCTGCAAGAATCACGCGCGCTAAATCGCCCATCAGCTGATTTTGTTCGACTTCAGGGATCACGCACACTAACCAACCAACCAACCAACAACAACAACTATCTTTACAATCCTCGGATTACTCGGATATGGAAGCACTATCGAAGCTCCCAAAAACTCGTATCTAAATGCTTATTATTGCAATTGTCAGAGTGAATAATGCGTAACTATTATTATTTCTATTTGTTTTTGAATTGTGCACACAAATGTTATCCTAATTTTAAATGATGAGCGAATCACTCTGAATCAAGAACCGTAGCTGCAAACGACACGAAATCGAATTAGCTAGCAAATTATATATGCCCCCAAAACAACAACTACACACCTAAACAAACACACACAACTATTATTTATTCAAACATCGTATCATAACCGAAAATATACCGATCCCACGCTAAATATGTATGTACTATTGTGGCCAGAGTTAATTTACTTTTACTTAGTTGAGCCTGATAACTGTTGATCAACCCGGAATTAAAAGCTAACAAATCGCGCGAGAGGATTTCCCCGGAACTCGATTGGCAGCCAAATCGGATGAGTTAGGAAAGTCAAACGAGGTTGTTCGCCAGGCAGGCAGTTGCTAACTTTACTTCTAAATTAATGTTGTAAATTATCCATAATTCGATTGTAAATTGTAAATGATCAGCAAGTGAATAAAATTTCGAAATCTTGTTCGCGTTTAATGAGTCTGGTTTTTCTTCTCATGGGGAAAGGGGAACTAATTTACTTCGAATGTGATGTCATAATCGTTGGCAATTCCGGTTTGCTGCGCACACGAATTCCGTTGGATGCCTGAAAGTATGCAACAGTTTTTGTTTTCCACCCACGCACACATACTTACCGCCTCGCTCACTCACACACACGCACACGCACTTCTACAGCAATTTCATGCTTAACCAATTTTTGTTGGTTTCATTTGAGCCTGGAATTTTATTTTCCCTTCGCTTTTTTTTCGTTTTGCTGGGCTTTCGCTGCGAGGTGCGAGTGAGTTTGGGTGTTAATCGCTGGGAACCCAAACCCAAATACCCCGGATTTCCACCCTCCTGGAAAACAAAACTTCACAGGCCTGGCGATGGCAGCAAAATTCACGCTAGATTAAGCAGGATCAGCAGGATACTACGTGGAGGCATGTGCCACGCCCCCGTCCGTGCGAGAAAGAAAAACAATTTGGGGTTTTTGTGGCATTTTTCAACGATTTGTTGGGTTTTATTTCTCATGTTTTTAGTTTACGTCGCCTTGCACATTACGCTAAAGGACTTTAAGTTAGTTCTCGAGTGTGTGTGTCAGTATGTTTGTATGTATGTGTGTATGTGCTTGTGTGAGTGTGTGTATGTGTGTTGTACTCGTGCAGGACACGCGTACAATTAGTCGTAACTTACATATCATTATGGGGTAGGTCTAACTATTCTTGTTTTTTGTGCGAAACGCATTCAGAAATCGAAATCGACATCGAAGTTAAGTATTCAGTTGGATATTCGTGGTTTCCGAAAGTGCGCGCCAAATTTGTCACCGTAGCGTTCCGTTGCGAGTTATGGATATCCCGGGGATAAACATACACCTACATACACTATATACTTAGTTTTTGCTCCTCGATTCTGGCCTGGTTTATAGTTTAGTTGCTAGAAATGCATTCGAAATTTCGTATTTACAGTTTCGATAGTTTAAAGTTTCTCTTTCTCAACATTTTCTCTTTTAGTGTTGTGTTTTGTTTTGTTTTTTTTTTTTTTGGATACTTTAATACTTCAATGGGTAGGCGTATATATATATATCATGTATGTATAATTGCAAGTATCTAGAATTCGTAATAACTACGCTGCGCATCCGCTTAATGCTTACAAAAATAAATTCAACACATTCAAGTACAACAAACATCTTACCAGCTAACGCCGCTTAAAGTTACTGGTTTACAGATAGGGTTACATTACATTCATTTAGGAGCAGCTTGAGTTCCGTACAAATAAATACCTTTGGGTTAACGAGTGTCTGAATGATCGCACTGATCTTCTCGATCGCTACAGATGCGCCAATATATCGATCTGATCGAGGGAACTGGCCTGGCCAGCTCCACTTTGAGTTTGAGTTTGAGTTTGGCTGTTGCTGCTTCCGGGTGACTGGGAAATGGTCACAATGGTCACCAGATCCTTGTTCTTGCTCTTCGCGTGGGTTTCCTCCTTCTTGGCATTGGCTTCCCTTTCGGGTAGGCGATTGGAGGACTCTATCTCCACGATGGCCGAGGTGAGCAATGTGTTCGACTGCAGCGCCGTGTAGTCCGGCAATTGCTCCACCACCGATGGCTCCGGCAGCTGGAGGTCCTCGTTGGCCAGGAGTCTTCCAGAAGGCGCCGTCTCGATGTTCCGCTCACTGCACACCAGACTGGCGGGCGTGGCGTTTCTCGAGCGGTAACTGGGCGGCAAGCTGTACTCCGATCCGCCCATGCTGCTGCTGATGGTTCCTCCAGCTCCTCCGCCGCCGCTTCCTCCTCCCATTCCGGATCGCAGGGTGGTCAGTGGAGCCCTGAAAAGTAAGCGAATCAGAGAGAGACATGAATTATTTACACATGAGCCAAAGTCAATCCGGTTCTGTTTGCCCTTCTCGGGCACAAGAAGATGGCAAATATGTTAACCAAATGCACAAATTTGCATCCATGAGAAGGGCTCTTTTTTAAAGGGAATGTCTATGAGATGTTTCTATACATGGATGCACTGGGAAATATGATTAAAATAATATTATGAGTGTATCTACTACATTTAAATCATAAAAGAAAATAAACTGCTGTTTTAATCCTTCTAATTGATTGTATGAATTCAAACCTAATCCAACCATTATTGTTTTATGATTTTACTTTAGTTTTAATTTGATTTTCTCAGTGCTTCCGAAAGTCGACTGCCATCGGTATGTATGACGTATATGACGACCCTGTCTCTTTTCAAACACACGACTCTATGCCAGCGTGTATTCTCTATATTCCCATCTTTGTCAATTTAAATAACAAAAGGCCGCTGTGGCAATTGTTGCCATGTGCATGGCGATAGGTGAAAAGAAAGGGATTTCAAGGGGAGGTTTTCCAAAGGAGATATTTTTAGGTGAAGACTTGGAAGGGGGAATTGAGGGAGGAACTAAACCCAAATCACAGACAATTCACACTTCAGTCGGCAGAGCACAAAAGTCAACACTCAAACGCTCATCTGCACATAATGGCCTGCCGAGTGTGTTCACCGCCCCCCCCCCCCTTAAAAAAGGGGGCGTGGCATGGCTTTTGATTCCTCAAAATTCGAGAAGGCCGCACAAATTGTATGGAGCAATTTGGAGTATGTAAAATTGCATTTAATTGTTCCGACAAAGATGCCGGGCGAACGGAAACAGGAAAATAAGTCAAGGATCGGTCGAGAAATCGAGCCCATCTCTATATATATATATATATGCTATATATGTTGGCTTTATTGTCTGGGATGCGATGTGCTGTGCATAACAGGCAATTTTCGCAGCACTCTGGCCGGCTCTTTGTTTGTTTAATTGACTTGGGCGGCAGCAAGGACAGTTTTCCGTCCTTGGAAGCCCAGGACATTTTCCCCCTTCCCCCTTTCCCTCCTTCCCCGCTTTTCCCCCCTCTGTCCGTTTTTACAGGCTGCTTGTTATGCGGCTTGGCAGGCTCTTCAGAAGTGCGCGCGTGTGTGTAAATATTTTGCAAAATTTCCCTGAATTCTTTGCCAGGTTTTCCCCCACTAGCGTTCTTTGAATACGCAACTCACACACACACACACACACGCACACACACTCGTAGTAACCCAAGGGCTGCCTTAAAGTATGCTGTGATTTCTTGCCGCACACTTTGCATAAGTTTCGCTTTTTGACATACTTCTCCGACTTCTCTTCCTCTTCCTTCCGCTTCCGCTGGCATTTTCGGCTAACCTAAGTAAGTGTGCGGAAAGCCCCCGAAATCAGCTTTCCCTGTTGCCTTTCCATTTGCATTTGCACACATTATAAATATTCAAGTGCGTGAGTGAAGTAAATTAATTTGACATAAATACGTTACGGTTTCAATGGCAATTTTACTAAAAACGAGCCGCAAATATTATTCAAGTAGGAAGTTCAAGCGGCCTTTTGTCTGTTTTTTCGGTCCGTAATTTGTAGGCCATAAAAATCAACTTTTCTCATTAGCCGAACATTATGCGTTCCGGGCGATAATTATCCCGGCGCCACCCATTTTTCCGGAATGTCCTTGTCATTTAAATTGCCTTTTGTGCGAGACTTGTTTTCCGGAGGGCGAAACGCAATCAGATTGCTCATATATTCTCGGGGAGGATTGCTTTATCTCTTCAATTAGTTGCCGAATCAATTGCCAAATGTTTGCTGCCATCATCAGGCAATCTTTTGAATCGACGAATCATCCCTTCGAAAGTGGGAAAAATCGAATCGAAAAAGCCCTGAAAAACTTTTCACCCCCCGAAAAGCGATGTGTCAATGTTGACACCCATGGAAAACCGCACAAAAGCCAAACCGCCGGAGCAGCTTCACCCCAGGATCCCGGCTCCCAGATCTCGTATATCCCATTCCCGATTCTTCTTGGTAACCGTTCCCCTTCCCCTTCCCCTTCCCCTTCCCCTTCCCCTTCCCCTTCCCCTTCCCCTTCACCTTCACCTCCTCCAATTCCTTGGCAGACTGGAAAACATTTTGCGGTTTGGCAGGCGCCAAACTTTGCAAATAACTCACGAACGGCGGAACGGAACAGTACGGAACGGAAAAGTCGGAGGTTGTGAATGGGCGGAGCGGAGTTTTGTGGGTGGGATTGCGGCGGAAACGGAAGTACTTACCTCAGCAGGCTGCCCGCATGAGATCGATAAGTGGGCGGCGGCGAGTTTCCACGCACCACGCCGTTCTGGCGATCGCGGTCCAATAGCAAAAGTCTGCGGGAGAGAAGCGGAAAGGATTCGGGTGAGTTGCTGTTCGAGTTGTAGTTATTGTTGTAGTGTTGTAGTTGTGGCACGACAGGAAAAAGGCGGCTAGCAAAAGGGTTGGAGTGTGGGAAAGTACGGATGTGGACAATGGCAATAGATACACTGAGAAACGAGGAGAATATGTGAATTCAAAATGAAAAAATTAAAAAATAATAACTTCCTACATTGAAACATTATATTTAGGTTTTATAAATTTGCAATCATTACCCAGGTTTAATTGTATTTGAATTTTAAAATGAGTTTCAATTGGAATATTACTAATCAATGCATTTAAAATTATTAAAAAAAGGTTTAGAACATAATTCTCGATTGAATTCCTTAGGATAATTTTAATGGCTATCTATTTGGTATTTTAGGCCCCTCAAGTTTCTCTCAGTGTAGCTACAAAACGCTCTGCCCACTGCATAATTATGCATAATGCAATTAATTGCGCCAGGACATGCGAGTGGCGGACGAGGCCGCAGGACCGCCGCCAACTGCTGTCCTTGCGTGTAATTTATGCACCAGCAGTCCCGGCAATCGAGTGGAGCAATCCTGCTCCTCCTCCACTCCTCTACTCCTCTTCCTTGCAATGGAATACTACTCACCTCAGCCGGTACTCCTGCATGCTGGCCTGGTAGGAGGGCGGCGGTGGGCGGTGCTGGAACTCCGGATAGAGCAGTCCGTGCGGGGCACCTCCTCCTCTGCTGCAGGGCCGCCGACCGCAGCGGCCGAGGTCAACACTGGTGCCCAGTCCGATGCCAAGGCAACTCTGGCCGCCCGGCGCAGTCATCCGCCAGGCGGCGCCACTCACCGTCACCAAAACGACGCCAACTCCTGGAAACGAAACGAAAGCGATTAGACGTGGACTCGGACTTAATTTCAGAGCTTGAACTCAGGTAACGCCCCCCGGTGAAGTGCCTCCCTCCCTCCCCGATTTCCCATTTAACGGCCGCTTTAATTAGCCCACTCCTAAGTGGGCGAGGCTCGCAATTACCGAAGACCCCGCACCGCCCACTTAAAGCCAAAGCCAAAGCCTAATCATGCCGACCCGACTTTCACTTTTACTCCTGTCGGCCATTCAGTGGAGCATGTCATCATGGCAAATTTGCCAGCTAGGCATACGATTTTATTAGCGAAAATTGTCATGAGCGTTGTGACATCTCCCCACAAAAGCCAAAGACCCCAAAAAGACCTCGCCCATCATCAACTTAATCATGATGATGATGATGATGATGGTGGGACTCTGGTAGTAGCTCCATTATGTGTCCGTATACATAGTTGGAGGAGATTTGCTGACTGGCTGCCTTGATTGCCATTAAATTATGTAAAATGCTGCCACACACACACACACACACCATCGCATACAAACTGTTCGCATGGACTGAAAACTTTTTGGTAATTGCCGCCGAAAATGGCGCAATGTCACGCTTCGCGAGCGCTAAACTAAACGCGCCGGCAATTGATTAGACGTCGCACACACACACACACATAAAACTCAAAACCCAAAACCCAAACTGCGACTTCAGGCTTTATACTATACTGCTATACTTCAGAGTAGAGCTCTGCACTTGGCCCCGCTTTCTGTGCGGTTGCGTAATGAATGATTCATGAGTGGCCCGAAAAGTTGCCAAAAACTGAATCGATGGCGTTTTAATTCAAAAGAGTTTTCCCAAGTGCATTTAATCATTGGAGGGGATGGGGTATCTCTTTTACCTTTCCACCTGTTGATCTGGCCAAATAGAGCGTTCGAGGGGCCAAAGAAATCGCAGACGGAACTAAATGCTCTGGCAATATTGACAGTTGGCTTGTCTGGCTGCAAATTTGTTTGTTCTTCGAACTGGGTCAGCAGATGTACGGAGTATCGCACAAAGCCCGATACTCAGGTACAAAAGTACTCAAACAGACACCGAGGCAACTCCTCTTTCCCCTCCCCCTCTCGTGAAAGAAAAACCCAGCAGCGAACGACGGACAACACCGAATGGCATTTATAATTGTAACAATTGTGAACAAACAGTGGCCTTTTCACCGGCCAGGGGAATACCACCTCCCTCCCAACCATTCCCTTCCTCCATCCAGTGACTTGTGTAAACATCAGCGAACATCAAAAGGCGCTCGTCGCCGACTTTAAAGCCATTTTCCCTGCTCGATTTTTGCCGGATTGCGTAAGCGCCTAGTTTGCCTTCCATTCGGAGAACGCAAATGGGGCAGTTTTGCCATAAAATATACAACAAATCACCCTACAAATAAAGCATTTAAAAACCCATTAAAAATATTTCTAAGCTTGTAAGGAAAACTAATTTTCTTTAATGAATTACTTCGTTCGGTTTATTGTTTGATTTTTCTCTGCTACTTAACTAATTTAAATATTCTAAACTTTTTATTATATATAAACCATGTGAAGATTTTATAAATTACTTCTTTTACGATTCCCATAAATGTTTTTTCTCAGGTTACATATTTTTTCCCCCGAAGAATACCTTCCGCATTTTCCGTAATAAATACTTGGAATAATGTTGGGGAATCTCATAAAAGTCTCACTCACCAATCATTAGCAGGGCGGCCGTGAGGTGGGAGTTTGGCGGTCCGGCGAGCCCTGTGGCGCCCAAGGCCGCTCCGCCCAGCGCGCATGCCACGCCCCCCAAGGCGACGACGGCGATGAGGGCGCGCAGCGGCGGTCCAGCGAACCACTGGCCGCAGCAGCCTTTTCCCGATCTCTCCGAGGGGGATCTGCAAAATGCGAAAGGAAAACAGATTTTCAGTAAGGCAGCTAGAAAATGGCAAACAAAAAGAAGTGAAATGGTTTGGGGAAAAAGGGATGGGGGAAATTCTGGGCAGCGCAGGTGGAAAAGGCGAGGACAACAGATGTTTGGCTGCGCAGCAAATTGGCAAGCGGCAACGTCTCGTGCCAGGTCCTTTTCCTTTATCCTTGGGTTTTCCCCCTTACAAAAGCGCAGCGAGTGCGCAATTGTTGTAATTTGATGATTTATGAGGCAAAAGACCAAAAATTTGCGCACTGCCCGCCGACACGAAACAAGCTGAAAGGATACGGGCAGCAGCCGTCGGGCAGCCCTGTATCCTTGGGCATCCTCGGAATCCTTGGCAGACAAGCAGACGACGTAGAATATTTTTGCGGAGAAGGGACAATTTATGCGACGCAGACACGGCGACAAAGGCGAAAAAGAGGATGTGTGTGCGTAAATTCATTAGGATACGGCCAGCGTTTTCTACGCTCTCTCTCTGGAAAGACGAACCCTTGCCAAACAATTAGAGGCGGAAATATTTATGGTCCTTTTGGGCGGAGAGGTTTGGGGAGCGTCTGGCGCTTTTGTTGTTTGTCTCATCGAAGCCGCTCCACAAAAAGATGATAAATTGTTGGAAAATTACGTGCACAAACATACACATCCGTAAACAAGTTGGCCGACCGGAAATTTATGTTTAATAATTTGATGCTGTTCTCGCTGGCAAAGGATTCTCGTGTATTTCGGATTTACACTTTTATGGCGTGCCCATTAAAAGACAGGCTTTCCCCCGGAAAACGAAGCAAAGTGAGGGTCAGGGGTCAGGGGTCAGGGTCCATGGCCCCGGGGTCTTTGACACCCGTAATGCGGCGGCATGAATGTTTCATCAGTTGTTGTGTCATGATAAATTTGATCTTTTCAGCTCATCATCGCTCGGCTCATCATCACTCGGAAATGAGCGCGCAGAAATGCCAAAAGGTGAACCCAGCCCAAACAATAACTATATGTTCTAAGCATTCCCAGATCTCTACTAATATCACCACGATACGGATTGAGATTCCCAAGAGCGGCATTTCAATCAGGGCCCCATGCGGTGACAAAGTTCAGCTACATCAACTACATGGATGGATCCCCCACTCGCAGAGCTGCAGATTGCCCCCCATCGAGATTGAACGTTGCTAAGCACCAGATGATTGATTAGCTACAAATTAGAGGCGGTCCAAATCGGAGAACCGATGCCCCTTTCCATTAGCATTTGCATTCCCATCTGGGGTCTCGTTGAAACTCATTGCATGTGAGCAAACACTGAAATTGCGCACTTGCTATATGATGGATATAGTATATATAGTATTCGTAACATCACGTTGAAAAAAAGTAATGCAGTTCAGTTCAGTATACATGTAGATACTATCTATAGTAACTTGTTTTTGAAACTGAATAACAAATACTAAAAGGTCTACTAAATCATTGCCAAGTTAACATGGTATTATAGTATTATAATCTATTATTTGTTTTGAATCTAAACTAATTAACAACTAGTAAAAGGTCTACCTAATTTATTGCCAAGTTTATACTATAGTTATATATTTGATCATTACCCTAGAATTTTAATTAACCCTCGAAAAATACATTTTTTTTCCTCTCTGCACCTTTGTCCACACATTTGTGTGTTCGAAGTAGTTCAGGGTCAGTATTGGCTTATAAGTCTAGCGAAGGCTTAGAAGCCAGAATTCGTTGGCTGATGGACATTGAGCCAGCTCAACGCTCATTCAGTCGGTTTGTCAGTCAGTCAGTCGGGCAGTTGTTCAATAAGGCGACTGCATTCAATTACCATTTATTAATTGCAATTTGTAATTGCCAACATTGACACAGTTCCAACGGCTGAGCGCATTTATTTATTTTCGCGCTGGCCGCTTACTTATCGCTGAACTTTCATTTCTGCAGAGAGTTTCCATTTAAACGGCATTTCCGTTTTCGCCTCCCTCCATCCCCCTCCCCCTTCCGCTTTCCCGCCTTCCGGCAGATGTCAGTTTGACATTTGCATGCGAGTGAACAGTTTCCAATTGATTAAGCAATTTGCAGTGCGTCAAAGACAAAGGCAACTTCATTACGATAAGACTCGGCTTGATATACTTTTTTTTTATCGGGCCAACACAACATCCGCCGACAAGTAACAACAAAGTGGATTCATGTTTTTATGGGGCTTTTATGGAGGGACATTAATTCCGCACCCGCACGCCAATTAGAAGGAGAAGGCCTAATCAAAGTTTAATGGAAACTTAATTTCCAGCCAATTCCCCGAGCAGTGCCTTCGTGGGAAATCAAACGAAAGCGGTGGAAAACTAATTAAATGCGAGTGGCAGACAATGAAAGCGAAAATCGTGATGAATTTAATTTACATGAATATTTGATAATTTATTTAATTCATTGGTGCTTTTCTTTTTCGCTCTCGGTTCAGTTTGAGTTTCAGTTTCAGCTTGCAGTTTTCCTTTCTTTTCACCTCGACTTATGTAATTAAATGTGGAAAATGAGGCAATCACCGCGGGCGCGCAGCAAATGAAAATAATTAGCTGGAAAAGCACATTAACATTGGCACATTGGCATACACACACACACACACACACCTATACATAGAGAGCCTTGGCTTTTCAGATTTTTGGCCCACTGACAAAGCGAATTTTTGGGCTGCAGCTGCCGACTGGAGGACGGATTAGGCCACAAAAACCCATTTTCAACTTTCAATCACAAAGTCTGCCCCTCGCCCCGATTTTCCTTGCCGAATGAGGCCATAATTACAGCGCGCTTTTCAACTTTGCCGCAGTTCTGATTTGTAATAGTAACTTTTTTTTTGTTCGCTCATTGTTTTGCGGGCTTTTGTTGTTTTGGCAAGAAGGGTTTTTGGGGCCCTGAACTACGAGCTGTGTTAATTTGGGCCGACATTCGGGGGAATTGCTTGTTCTTCTGACTAAAGTTAGGCGATTCGAGTTGAAAAGATTTTGGGGGGTGCACAGGGAGAAAAAAATAAATACTGGGCATTCAAATTGGTTTCTGTCTCTGGCTTTAAATAACCCAAATAGCTTGTTTTATACAAAGTTACTAAACTAGTTATTAGAGATAAATTCGAAGAATTTATTTAATAAAACTTGATTAATTGGCTTTCGCCAAACTAAAATAAATAGTTGAGAATGCTTCCCCTTTTATGGTTTGATATATTCTGCGTGGGAAGTCTTAAATAAATAATTTCTCCCTCGCCGAGGTGTTCTATTAAATTCCATGACACTTGAAAATCTCAGAGAAAAGGCGGCTGAATAAATGCCCAAACATGCTTCTATTTTTACGGAAAGTGTGTGTGTGGGTTAAAGAGACATAATATGAAAACCAGTAGCAATGGAGACTGAGTTTGAGACTGGGACTCAGAACATGACATTCACCCGGCATTAAAATCGCAGTTGTTTGTTTGCCGCGTATATAAAAATGAAAGCAAACAGCGAGACTCGCAGACGGCAATAAAATATCCAAGCGAAAGAGACAAAGTCACGTTGTGTTGGGTGTATAGTACTCGTGCTATATAATTGTATGTTATATATATGTATATATATACGTAGAGCGGTGTAACGATTTCACACACAGCCGCAGAAACTTCTGACCTACTAAATGCAGAAGACGGAGAGCGAGTCTCTAAACTTGGGCAACGTTTTTCCAGTTAACTGCAAACGCTTTGACGCTTGACTGATGCCGGAGCTCCGAAACTGGCAAACTGGCAAACTGGCAACTCCGGGCCAGCTTTAACTCTGAGCCACATTAAAGTGCCCGGCCAGCCCAGTCTATATATTCTTGGGGGGCGTAACTCGAGCACACGACTTTGATAGCGCCCCAAATCGGAGTATCTGCCAGTTGAGTTGAGTTGTCGGCGGAGCTCTCCAGAGTTGCCAGAGCTGCCGGAGCTGACACGCTCCACTCCCCCGCATTCTTTGGGGCCAAGTGAGCTCTTAATGCGAGTGTAAAAGATTATATGGCAAAGTTGGCGCTGTCCATTGGCTGAAGAAATGCCAGCACTTGGGGAAAATTCAAGGGAGTTTCAGAAAGGAAATTCAGAGAAATTCATATTCATAACTTGATAAATTGTTTTAAATAAGATAGATTATAACTCATACAAAAAAAACTTATAACTTTGTTAAGCTTTCTTAGACTTTTTTAATTAATATTTTTCATTTTATTGAATTTTTCATGAATTATATTTCTGGCCCTCAGATTTTTTTGAGTCACAGATGGTAGCTACAGATAAATGCAATACTGTTTTATTGACAACGGTTTTATGGCAAACAGCGTTTTTATGATCACTTCAATCTGAGAGGCGGGCACAAATTTAGGTGACATTTAAAATTGAATTTCTACTCCAGTTGGAGGCAGCACCTTTCACGGCACCTTAATTTGATATTCGTTGAGATGAGATTTTGGGAAAACCTACGAAAGGCTTTTGTTTCGAGTGCAGCATTGCAGACAAAGTTTTGGCCGGCGTTTATTGCCAATTTTGGGAATGCATAAAGTGCAAGAGCTGCCAGCAATCGACGCCCACGCATGGCTCCCAGTGGGTGGGATCCACCACCTCCTCCCTCTTTTCCTTTTCATCCACCACCCCCTTCTCCTCCTCCTCCTCCTCCCCCTCGTTTTCGGATCCTCCACCTCGCAGAGGGAAAAAAGGAAATCTGGAATATAGGGCAGCATGCCAAGTGTGCGGCCAACTGCAGCCTGTCTGCTGATATATAAAAACATTAGCCACCCACACAGACTGAAAGAGAGACAGAGAAAGGGAGAGAGCGAGAGGGAGGAAAAGAGAGGGGAATGTAAATGGGTTGCTGGCAGGGAACAAGTGCCAAACATCGTGACGACAACGACAACTGGAGTCGCACTGGCATTGCGTCGTCTGAGGCATTTCTAATTTGAGATCCGTTTCTAATTTCTGGCTTTCATGTAGCAGCCAGCAGAGCA